TGGGTCTGAGCTCTGTCCCGACGGCCAGCGTGATCAGTCCCTTCGTGACCCCCGTCCCTTCCGCTGGACCGAGGGTAACGTTCCCACCAAGCATGACTCAGTTCATGAATGACCCAGCCAACCTACAAGCCATCCAGGGCTTTGGCCAGGTCATGGCCATGTGCCAACAGAACGGGGGGATGCCTTTCCTCCCTGGTATGTTCCCATTCGCCCTTCCAGGCGCGGGGACCATGCCCCTACAAGCTCCGATGGCGGTGACGTCGTTCCAGACGCCGATGCCGCAACCATCACCTTTCCAGCCCCAGCTGGTCAGCACCATGGCCCCGGTCAACTTGGCCGGTGCACTTAACGCTGCAGGGCCGTCGCGTCCCCCGCAAGCTACGGATCCGCAAATCACTCCTGATGGTCACTGCGTCTCGATTGAGAGCGATGACGGCGAGTGGGACATCCCGAGGGCCCACAAGAAGAAGAAAGGAAAAAACATCCGGCCAGCGACCTCCCGAAACTCCGCCTTCGAAAGGCTGGGGGATAGGGAGGAAGTCAGCCAAGCAGAGGCTGGGGCAGAGTGTTGCCCACGTCAGCGCATTCGCCCGGCTAGGCGAGGTGCGGGAGGCCGAGCCTGCCCGCACCCGGCGCTCCCGGTCTAACCGGCAGGAGCCAGCGAGGACGAGGGCCTCCCACCAGGAAGGGGAGGCAGAAAGCCAGCCCAGGTTACCGGTGGCGAACCAGTTAACCATCCCAAACGACCGCGTCCAGCAGATGGAGGCAAAGCTGGAAAGGTTGGAAAAGAAGGTCGGGGAGAAGAATGACCGGGACAAACCCCTGGCAGGGTCCCCGTTCACCACAAGGGTCCATCTGACACCTTTCCCGCGAAAGGTCAAGACCGATGCCCCCAGATTCACCGGGAAGGAAGATCCGGAGATCCACCTGGACTCCTTCAACCAGAGTGCGACCATGAACGGTTGCACCGATGAAGAAAAGTGCCTACTTTTCTTTCAGACCTTGCGGAACCGAGCCACTGAATGGTTCAATAAGCTTCGCCCGGGAAGCATTGACTCGTTCAGTGATTTGGCCTCAAAATTCAAGGCCAAGTTCCAGGAGAATTGTACTAAGAGGAAGAAGTTCACCTATCTTAGTACAGCCGGGCAGAGGGAGTCTGAGAACCTCACTCAGTTCCTTACCCGGTAGAAGGAAGAGGTAGACAAGGTGGAAGAGATGGATGACAAGACCGTCCTCTCCCTCCTCTTGAATGGCTTGCGTGCTGGGGAACTATACAAGGAGTTCTGCCGGAAACCCCCAGCCACGTACCAAGAGGCCTACCATACTGCATGGGAGTTTGCTGAAGCTGAAGCCCAGCTCCGGGCAAAGAGAGAAGCTGAGCATGGTCACAAGCCCAAGCCGGTGCAAGTTAAGAAGGAAGAAGCACCGGGACCTAGCCGGCCGAGGCACCACTATGACCCGGTCATCCGAGTGGTCAATACAGAAGAATGCCAAGAAGTCCGGAAAGCACCGGTCATTCCTCCAGAAAACCCTACCGGTCAAGTAGGGCGGCAGTGGTCGGGCACCTATTGTTCGTACCACAGGTCTGATTCCCATAACACCTCCGAATGCAAGAGTGTTAAAGGGGTCATCCGGCAGATGATCGACAGTGGAGAGCTGGGCAAAGATTACTTGCAGAAAGCCCAGGAGAAGAGTCATCAGTGGGTTAGGCCAACTGCCCCAGGGAATGACCGGGACAATGACCGGCGGAGGAATAACCGGCCAAGGGAGCGGCAACCTGCCCCCGAAAAAGAACACATCGGCATGATCTTCGGCGGACCCGAGGGTGGAGATTCAGCCGCGCAGCGGAAGAACTGGGTCCGGAGCATTTACGT